CTGTAAGGGGCAAGACGGCTCATAGCTTTGACAGGTAAGAAAGGAACTGTGCTTCTAGCACCTCTGGTCAGATCAAGAGGTGTGTTTTGGCCTCTGGGTAGAACATAGAGTCATTTAGGTTGGAAAAGATCTTTTAAGATCATCGAGTCCAGCTGTTAACCCGGCACTGCCAAGTCAACCACTAGCCCATGTCCCTCAGGGACACACCCACACATCTTCTAAATCCCTCTAGGGATGGTGACTCCACTACTCCCTGGGCAGCCTGTTCCAATGCTGATCAACCCTTTTGATGAAGCCATTTTTCCTAATAGTCCATTTAAACCTCCTCTGGCACAGCTTGAGGCCATTTGCTCTTGTCCTGTCTTGTTGCATGGGAGAAGAGACCAGTCCCCACCTCACTATGCTGAAACCAAAAGAAAAGGAGGAAAGAAGATGGAGGGAAAGACTGATAAACACTATGAGACTGAGAGTCCATAAACTACTATTGATTATGAAAAGGGGTTTTTTGGCATATAAATTGAAGTTCCAGCAAAGATAAGAAATAACAACACAGAAGAACCCTCTGTCATTCTGTGGTGGCTTTTCTTACATATATTCTTTCAGAGTTAGTTTTCTAAAGGCAATACTTGTCAAGCACTTAGAGCCCATTAAGCAAATATTTAAGAAGCAGAGACTACACTAATAGCTTGTCCATCATCAGTAGGTTGGTAGAACAGCTAAGTATAAAAACTACCTAGCTAATTTAAGGACTGGGATGCTGTGAGTTTAATGACTCCATTCTCCTGGCTCTTGCTACACAAATACAAACATTTTTGGCGAGTACTTTTCACTGTTCAGCTTGTGACCCTCTAAGGTTATATATCCTTACAAAAGCAATCTTCACCTTCAGCTCTTTTGTTCAGGCATCTATACAATATTTTGGAGGTTTGGGATGTTGGGTATGTTGTGATCTTTGCCATGCTTGATTCCAAACCTGATTGTCAGTACACTCTGGAGGTGCTGGTTTCTTTGTCTGTGCCTGTTATAATCACTGAGGAAATAAGTAACTTCCAGGTTATATGTTGAGTGATGTCTTTAAATGCCAATGTCTGTCTTGTCCTGCTGTAGATACCAAGTGGCAATCTGGGTATGTTTGGCAATAGTGGAGCAGCACAAGCCAGGACCATGCAACAGCCGCAGCAACCGCCAGTGCAACCTCTTAATTCATCCCAGCCTAGTCTTCGTGCTCAAGTGCCTCAGTTTCTATCCCCTCAGGTTAGACAGCACTTCCATTCATGAGTTTTCCCTTTCCCTGGAACTCTTCCATATGCACTCTCCTTTCCATATTGCATTCTGTCATGCTCTTGAGGCTTCGCAGCTACTCTTGCCTGGCTGTATCTGTGTTGATTTATTTACTAGCCAGTAAGCATATGACATTAGTAAGATGGTCTAGTGTGTATGTTCTGTCAGTTATCTGTGTGGGCACATTCCTTTTTGGGAAAAAAGTAGTGTTTCAAGAGAGCTGAGGAGTTCGTTCCCAGCTCTTCTTCTATAAATGGACATTTGAGTATGATTATTAAGATTTGTAGTAGAGCCTCTTGTTAATTTTTGGTAGTTCATGGTACTGCTGCTAATACTATTTTCCAGCTGATGTCTTGTGACTCTTATTAATGGCTTACACAGTTGCCAGTGTTAGAAGTAAATGTACAATGTTTAATATACTTTTCTTTCTTAGGTTCAAGCACAGCTTTTGCAGTTTGCAGCAAAAAACATTGGTCTCAGCCCTGCACAGTTAACCTCGCCAATTAATAATCCTCAGCATATGACGATGTTGAACCAGCTCTATCAGCTGCAGCTGGTAAGTGAAAAGACATGGCAAATAAGGTCTAAAACCGAATTTGACGACATGAAGATAAAATAAGAGAATGACTAAATTTTAAATGCATGTGGCAGATCTTTAAAACAATTGGGTGCTGATTTCTTTGGTGAAGTTGCGTTTTAAAGAAACAAAATTGTGTTTTTTGCCTCAGGCTTTATAGTAATTTGTGGAATAATTATCCTTTACAGCTGATCACTAGAACTGAACAGTCAGTTGTCTTTGTACTGATATGAGTACCATAGTATATTCTCAAACCTCACTACTTCTGTATAGTACATGCCAACATATGCAATGATTGACCAAGTGGGAGGTTGGTATCACAGCATAACAAGAGAAATCTCAGCAGTGCCAGTCCCCCGAGTTACTTGGAAAACTGCCTTCAACAGCCTCAAGAAATAATAAAGTGTAGGGTAAACTTCCTGTAGTTAGTGGCATGTATATTAAACACAGCATGTGATGAGAACTACTTGGTTTTGGAAAGCTGCGTACTTCATTGTATTGGCAACTTTTACGTATGTCTGAAGATATTTAATTGGATTTTAAGAATATTTTAAAAAGCTGTACTGCTAACAGTATTTGCTAGGTTTAAACCTACAGTTGAGGATGACAAACTAGCTTAGTTGCTGATCGTTATGTGCTAGTCCAAGTCTTTTGTTAGTAATAGTGTTTGATACTGTTACTCATTTCTGGTTATGTTTCCTAGTTTTGAGGAGCACAGCATTGATTTCATGCCATGGTAGCAATTGAACAGTACCCAGCTGCTTGAAAAATATCTGTAGAGAACTCCTTTGGATTTTAAATTCACGTTTTTCAAAGAAACACCTTGAAAAAGAAATTTACTGCCCCATGACCCACATTAGAACACGTGGAATTTTTCTGGAGTAAAGCAACACAACTGATTAAATACCAGGTGTTGTCAGAACTCAAAATGTGTGTAAGAGAACTAACAATTGGTGTTTATCTTATTTGTAAGATATTATAAACTTCTATTCTAATTTTTGCTTTGTGTTACAATTTTTTCAGGGAAAAAAGGCAGGCTCCTGGCTTTAATGACCTCTTACTGCTCACAAACCTATTCATCAAGTTTTTTATTGATGTGTTTGGTTTAATGAAAAAAGGCAAGCAAAAAACGAACACTAGACTTAAATGTGTTATAAAATACATTTGTAACGTTTGCTTCCTTGGGAGTTTTCAGAAAATTCCCAATGTTTCTGTCTTTTCTATTTTATAATGTACCAGAGTAGTTCAGACAAGCTTGTTTGGCTTTGTGTATATGTATTAGGACCTCTGACCTCTCACTTCTGTCTCGTAGGCGTACCAACGTTTACAAATCCAGCAGCAGATGTTACAGGCTCAGCGTAACGTTTCCGGACCCATGAGACAACAGGAGCAGCAAGTAGGTTTGCCTGCCAGTTCAATCTCTCTGCAAGGGTTTGTCTTCAGTAGCTTAAAGAGATTGTACTGCTTATAGCAAAGCAGCTATAGCATCCTTAGAAACAATAATGTAGTGCATGGTTTGAGTATTGACAGGAAAGAGGGCTAGAGCACTGAAGCTATTTTACAGCATTCAGTTATTGGAGGAAAGCTCTTCAACTCTTAATAGGGTCAATTTTTATTTGTAAAGAGATCTATTGTGTTATTTCACTGTAGATTCAGGCACAAGAAATCTAGTGTCTTTTTGTTCAATTGAGCATTTATTGATTCTTTTCCTTGCCAGGTTGCACGTACAATCAATAACATGCAGCAGCAGATCCAGCAGCACCAGCGCCAGCTGGCCCAGGCCCTGCTTATGAAGCAGCAGCCTCCCCCTCCACATCTGTCTTTGCACCCCTCTGCAGGCAAATCAGCCATGGATAGCTTTTCACCCCATCCCCCGGCTTCCGGCCTACCTGACCTGCAGACCAAAGAGCAACAGTCTTCACCGAACACCTTTGCTCCTTACCCTCTTGGTAAGTGTCCTGGATTAAAGCAGTTCCATATGAAAAAGACAGAGGGAGGTTATTTCCTTAATTCAGCATCTAAATATTTTGCTCTGCTGTGTAACAAATACAGAAGTAGAAAGATATGTTTATTAAATAGTGTTGAAATGCCAAAACAAAATCATGGTACTACACACCTATCTGGTAGCAGCTGCTCAAGAGGGCTATATTTGCTTATCTGTACTCTGCCTACAAATATCAGCACAGAAGATTTGCATAATTAGGTACCTACCTACCTTGCTATTTATGAACTAAATATAAATTGACAGTGTCATGTTGTAAAACACACAAATGTCATATTGATAAACAGGAATATCATCTGGAAGTCATGCAAAGTCAGCTTTCCACTCCCATCAGCACTGGTAAGGCATCAAGTTTGGTCAGTGTATTTTAAGAAGGATATGGCTCAGTTTGAAGTAATGCAGAGTGAGTGTTGTGCAAATGATGAGATGTTTCAAAATCATGACTGCTAAGAAAGAAAGGGAAATCCTCTGGTCACTTTAGTCTGAAGAGTAGACTTAAGAGACATGCAGGGATCTTCAAAATGTAAAAGATACCTACGAAGAGTTTTCTTGCATATGGCTAATGCCAAGAGGTAATACTTCTGTTGTGTGAAAGGAGATCTAGTTAAACATTAAAGATCACTTATTTGCTCTAAGCAAAGCAGAATAAATAACCTGGGAAGTTTCTGAAATGTTCCTCACTGGTCAGTCCGTGGTAGGTTAGACACAGATCTGTCAAATATGATTAATGTCAAAATAATCAATTCAGCCTTAAGACAGCATGAACAAAGCAACCTTTCAGACCTGTTGCCTGTGTGATTGTTTGTATGCTACCTCTATTTATGACATAAAGGAATTAATCTCTTTGTGACTCTTTAAGCTCTGTACGATAGAATTGCCAAGCTGTATCTACCATGCAGCAGTTTAGAAGGTAATTCTGACTGCTGTGGTGAGCTGTTAGAGGAGGGAGCATCAGAAGGCAAAAGAATTTATGAATTAAAGTCTAAGAAGTTCTTATCATATCTCAGCTTCCTGTCATCTGCTAACATTCAGGATTATATATCAAAGAAGACCCAGATTCGTGTCACAGAACCGTGTCAGAATTGTTCCCTAAATACAGTCCGAGTGATTTTGTTCTGTGTATATAAAATATATGCCCAAATACTACAATACCTGCTCGAATGAATGGCTGCTGCTTCTAATTAGTTGCTTTCTTTGAGATTTGTACAGTGTTGTTAGCAAAATGAAATGGCAGACATGGCCATGGGCGAGCACTGGTGAGACATTAGGAACATTTTGATTTAGCAGTGGAATGCTGCAGATTCCTCACTGGTTTAAGCGTAGCATACCAGTGCATTCTTCCAGAAGGCTTTTTCGGAGACAAGGGAAGAGACTGAAAGTAAAAATACTGACAGCTTTAAAATAGTGTCCCTGCATCTTTTCTTTTGTTTCCACTTTTAGCAAAGTTTTCTGAATTCATTTTCTGAATTCATGGGAGTTACATTGGTGTTCCCATAAAAACAAAAGTTCCTGACAGCAGTTGCAAATAAGCATAGTAATTTACTCTACACATGTACAGATGTCTGAAAGTCAACGTTTCATAACTCCTTTAGCTGGTTTTTTAAACACATTTTTTAATCCTCCAGTCTGTTATGGATATCTCATGACCTGTTTCCCCTTAGCTGGACTGAACGCGAACATGAATGTAAATAACATGGACATTACCGGTGGTTTGTCAGTGAAGGACACTTCTCAGTCCCAGTCTCGCCTTCCTCAGTGGACACACCCCAACTCAATGGATAATCTGTCTAGTGCTGCTTCTTCGCTTGACCAGAACTCCAGCAAGCACGGTATGTTACATTTAATCTCAGTGGCAGCCTGGCTTTTTGAGGCTTGACGCACACTGCAGTGGCATTTTTTTATTCTCAAGTTACTGTTTGCAGTAAGTGCTCATAAGTGGTTGGTACAGAGTGCCCTTTGAGACTGGGGTACTTTCAAAATTATTTCTGCAGTCACATTCAGCAGTGCATCTAAGTGCTTGCAGCTGTCACTTCCTACATGCAGTGTAGGAATGTTTTTTCCATTTGCTGAATTTTCTTGCTCAGAACATGGGAGTTCAAGTAAAACAAGCCACTAGCGTTGGCAAAACAAGTCTCACAGTCTTCCCCTTACTCCAGATCTGCATAAGTTTCATCCAGAATAACCTTGCATTGTCTTTCTCCCACAGTTTTTCCAGTATCGCCAACCTTTCACAGCCAGTCCTGTACACAAGCACAATGAAGTACATAATTAGCCATCCTGGGAGTTAGGAGCACAAACTTCACATTTTTCCAGGAGTGATTGCTAATCTGTTTGAACACTTTTATCCCTAATGCCTCCAGTATCCTGAGTCATTTATTCCTTTATTTCCTGTACCAAGTTTATTCTGTTAGGACATGGTGCTGTTAACTTTATTATATCCGGGATTTTATTATGAGAAGCATGCATAATTTCTTTTACAATACTTTATTCTGCAAGTAGCTGTACTGGTTATACCAAATTGTTGTTTGATAGTTTGTTGGACATGAGAATGGCATTTCAAATCATCCACCCCATCTGCAATGAACATCTAGAGAAAAGGGCTTGTTTAGAGGGATATTCCTTAGTATGCTGTCTCAGCAAATTCCTATTTACTATCAGTGTAACAATTTGAATTAGTCTCTTTTTGGCAGTAATGTAATGCAGTTGTTTAGCTTGAGTGTCTAGATTGTACCAGTGGTGTGTCTCACAGCTGTAATTCCTAGGAAGGCTTCAGAGGCTGTTAAGCCTTGCTTACTGTGTTTGCATGTTAATTTTCTTTTCTACCTTTGTGATACAGAAAGAAAATATAGGGAGTGATGAAATTCCATACCCAAAATTAATGCCACTCCTAACCAAAGCCTTTCCATTTCAATCCTTACAGGTGCTATACCTGGAGGTTTAAGTATTGGTCCTCCGGGAAAGTCCTCCATTGATGACTCTTACAGCCGGTATGATCTGATGCAGAACAGTGAATCACCCGCCAGTCCACCCGTAGCTGTTCCTCACAGCTGGTCACGTGCCAAAACTGATAGTGATAAAATTTCCAATGGCTCCAGCATAAACTGGCCACCAGGTAACAACACACAAAGTGTTCATGTCAAGCTGACGTCCTTAAAACATGGTTCTATTTATTGAATCTTTATGCCTTCTGCTACACAGGAACTTTGGAGAATTATGACTTTTTATACTCTTCTTTTTATTATGTTTGAAACAGAGTTTCATCCAGGAGTGCCGTGGAAAGGACTGCAGAATATTGATCCTGAAAATGACCCTGATGTTACTCCTGGAAGTGTTCCAACTGGGCCTACCATAAACACCACAATACAGGATGTTAATCGCTATCTTCTCAAGAGTGGAGGTAAACACACAAATCACATGCATATCCGTGTGTACTTTCTTCTTTCCAAAAAAGGTGACTTCATGCATTACAGATGTAGTATATTTTGCATGTAACCCTAATGCTTCTGCTCTGAACTTTCACTGAAAATCAGAAATACTAGATTTAAATATGTGACCAAAAGGTTTTTGGTTTTCTGTGGGAAATATTTTTATATTGGAAAAGGGTATGAGATGTAATACAAACTTCTGTGGTCACTGGAAGTTTTTGTAACTCGTAGCACTTTGTTTTGAACAAGATTTTACTCTCCATCCTGACCACCCTCCTGCACACACTTCATGAAATACTCAGAAGACACAACACAAAAGTTCCAGAGTTGTTGCTGAAGCAGCAGGCTTCTGTCACGCTACTTAATTGTAGCTTTGTTAGAAGATCAGTCAGCAAAATTATTTAGAGCTATTTTATCCCCAGAACCATCAAAGAAAAAAGGGAATTGGCTAGTCAACTAGTATTCCCAGTGCCGTTTCCATTCCTTTTGTCTTGGCAGTTCTTACTTCAGAATTAAAAGGGCGTTCTCTAAAACAATAAGCCATTGGGACTGTGCTACTTGTTAACTAGATGCACTGCAATTGGATCAAGGGAAAGGTGGCTTGGTTTAATTGTGCTCAGTGTGCCAATATAGGGAAGCAGTCTGCTGTCTAGTAGAGCACTCTAATATGCATAGGAATAGTGTAATCAGGTTGGCAGGAAGGACCTGTCAGGATTGAAAATGTGGGGTTTGTTCTTATAGTTACATCTATGATACCTGCGTTGTAAATCAGAACTATCATTGCTCTGGGCTTGTTAATCAGGCAAAGAGATGTGAACTGTGAGGGAAAGGAGGCAGGGGTTTTCATTGTTTTGAATTAGTTGTCTCTAACCTGAAAACAACCTTTATTTAAGCTGAAACATGAAGTATTTGTGTGCATGACTAATGTTGAATTAACTTTTAATGACACAAATATACTGCGAGGGGTAGGCAACCTGGATGGTTTGAAGTTCTGAAAAGAAAAGGATAGACAGAATTCAGCCATAGTTCAGGTATGGTGCACCCAAGATACACTCCCATTAGGCCAGAAGCCTAGCCCTACACAGCTGTAGTTATATGCTGCCTATTGCAGGTCTTCCTGCTTAATAGAAGGCAAGTACACATTAGCTCTCTTGGTGTGTAATTTGTCTGTGGAATGAAGAAATAATCACGCTACTTAGAGTCAGTATAAATGAGCTTTGGAGAAGTAAACAGGTCCTCAAGAGCCAAAACCTGAAAAGCAGTGACTGTTGGGGTCCATGTATGCTTCCTTTCCTCATTAGCTTTTTAGCTTACTTATGATATAATTTTAATTGAAAATGCAGCTGATAAATCTGTTTCTTTATGCTTGTATAAGCGAGGTGTTTGCTTCTAGGTAAATTTATCTGTTATTGTCAGCACGTCTCCGTATGAGCCTGGGGCTTTCATGACATGCTGCCAGGAAGAGGCCATCTTTGAATGCTGCAGCTTGAAGTACGCAGACTATTAACAGAGCAGATCTCCAGTGAGAGGGCCAGACTGTGATGCATACTGTCCTTGCACTGCACACACAGAAAGAGATAAAACCTAAGGTTTTGGGTTGATTTTTATTTCATTCTGTGTGCTGAGGAAGCTTTGCAGGCTCAGCCAGCCTTAGCCACCTGAAATCAGGGATGATTTCAGCTCTCTGGGCATATTTGAATCTGATAAAATTTCCTCACTCCTGCCTAGGAAATAGATTATTTCCAGAGAAGGCCTTGATCTAGAGTTATTCCACTTGAGACTGATGTCTGTTTTGGTGTCCTTTGGAGTGCATTGGGTCTAGATAAGGTAAAGTTTGGTTGGTTGCTCTTCCAGTTGGATATATAGCCTGTTTTTTATTGAGCTGTGAGGGATGAGATTGCCCTTTTACTTAGTCCCTTCTACCTCAGTACAGAGCTCTTTTCCAAAGAACTCATGTATTTTTATTAGTCGGTTCAAGATGTTTCAGTATCACAGTCCGTCTATGCATGTCAGGAATGCTAAGTCACCTAGGATACACACTTAATTTTGTTGGTGGCTAGAGAGAATACTTCCAACTCTTCAGGTATTTATAATGAAGATATTTTATGTTCAATTTCTTTCATTTGCTGCCACTAAGGAAACTGTATGTATGCTTAGATAGCTCCTCAGATTGTATATTATTTACCAGGATGGTTTCAGGCTATTTCATTTAATGTTATCAGTTTGAGAAGAGATTGCTAAAATATATCCTTACTTTACTGAAAGTCTGCAAAAATCTAAAGATGTTTGTGGGCATTAGGATGTAGGGTAAGTGCTTACCTTGAGTAATTTAGGACAAATCACCCATGGTAAGAGGTTAGTTAATCATATACATCTATGCTCATCTACAGTGGCCATTGCTTAAGTCAGTCAGCAGAGCACCTTAATGAATGAAGCCTGTTCCTTGAGACTAAACAGTTCAACACCGATTTTTTTGAGTCATGTATCTTAAAGGAAATGCAGAATTTATCTTCTGCACAGGTGCTAGTATGTTTGCTACTGTGCCAGCTTTCTTTTCTTTTCTACTAAAGACTTCTGCTTCACTTTATCATGCTTTCTATAACATTTCATTCCTAGACTTCTGAGACCAGGCCGATTAAAGGAAATGCCTTCATGGTTTGTATTTTCACATAATAGATTTGCTTATGTCACACCAAACATCATTATGCCCATCTTTCTTAGCTGCTTCTCTGCTGGTTCTGCAGGGTCATCCCCAACATCATCTCAGAATGCCACGCTGCCTTCATCGAGTGCCTGGCCGCTTAGTGCCTCCGGCTACAGTAGCTCTTTCAGCAGCATTGCATCTGCACCTAGCATTGCAGGTACGAAAAATGGCCTTTCTACTTTCACATCCTTCTGCATTCTGAGAAAAGGCCCTAGAAAGTGCTTTCCTAGTTACTACAGTAGTGCTACTATAGACAGAGACCTGTTTTTCAGTATTGTGCTAGGTAGTAAGCAGCAGTCCTGGCAGCTCTTCAGTGGCGAGTTGAATGGTATGCCTGGAATTGTGCTGAGGAAAAATGTATTTATTCCACTGGTGCCACGTGCTGTCACTCTGTATTGGTATTGAGATCTCTTAATGACTGTTTCCATTGCAGCTTTGAGGAGGAATATTGTCTAGACCTCAGTAGAAACACTGCTGCTAAGCCCTTCCAGTAAGATCTGATGTGAAATTTTTGTTAATAAACTCACTGTTAAAAGTGAACCATCTTCAGCTCAGGAAAAGGTTTCGTACCACCTCAAGGAGGTACTCTGCATGGCTGTGAAGGGGTTGGGTTTGGGGCTCTTAAATGTCTTCTGATAGTCAGCCCAAAGTCTAAGGCTCCCCTAAATGGCTGAGTTTATAGGTGGTCTGAATAAACTACCCCATTCATTTTAATGAGCTTTACATTCTGGAACATCTCTGTCTGCAAGTCACAGAGACATTGCGTGTGAACTAACTACCTAAATATCCAGTTTGTCCCATTATAAAAATGTGTTGGGGCTCTTGTGTGGATTGTATTAACATTTTCATATCTAATCAATGAAAACCCTTTTCTTTGAATAAAGGAAGGTGCAACCTCCAGGTCATACTGCAGAATGGAAAACAAAAAGGGGTTGTGTGAAACGTTTTACTCCAGTGAAAGGAAAAGAATGACTGGCTTTCCTTTTATCTGCCATGCATTTCTGCTTTATTTGCTTTTTATTGTTTTGCAGTGTCACCTAATCTTTGTGTTAACCCCATAAGAAGTAGTGACATAGCAACATCTAATCTGTGGTAATGTGCATGAATCATGATGTGTTGAGCCGCTCTGAGTTCTAACACTCAGGCTTTTTTACCTTTTCTCCCACCGTTTTACTCTTGTTTAATGCATTCATCATCATTGTCAAATTATTTTTGCTGCTGCAGTGTGCAAGAAGATGGGAGAGTGGTTGCCCTTTCACTTAAATGGTTATGATTCAATATAAAATCCTTGAGTTAGATGATTCAGATAAATAGAGGAAATCTGGGGAATGTGTGTATAGAACTGAGGCTGTGATTTGGTGTCTGGTAAATTTGGCTCTAGGACTGATAAAATCCCTCAGTGGCTGCCTGATGGAAAGCACTGACTGAGTATAAGCTTCATCTGCCAGTTCAAATCTGGGTTTAAAAAACTCCACAAGATTTTGGCATCTTGAACTTTTGTCAGACCAAGTATTTTCTTCCTGCCTGCAATCAGCATTAAAGCATTAAGGCAGCATAACCACAATATCATTTGCTCTGGCAGAAGATGCAGTGATGTGACCATTTCAGTCCATTCCATGTGCTGCTAATGTTAGTAACAGTGTGGGGCTGTGCTATGAGAAGGAAATAGAACTCAACTTCCACCACGTATGTTGGTAGAAGGAAGAAAGTCAAGGATGTGCAAGTCTAAAGTTGAATAAAGGGGTTTGGTTTGGTATGCAGAATGTGAAACAATTTTGTCTGCCACGCTGAATGCTAAACTGATTTGCTATTCTTGGGTTGTTTTATTATTTTATAAGATTCTGGTTTGGCAGGAACAGTAGTAAAATAACAAACTCAACAGTGAAAAGTTTCAGTGGCAAGTTGTGGTATGGTCTAATCTTCTGAAGACTTCATCTTTTGCAAAGACTGTTTAGAAAAAGAATGTCTGTTACGTTGCCTATTCAGAAATCCAGGTTTGGTTGGGTTTTGATTTTTGGAATTTTAGTAAACCTGGTTACTAAATCCAGTAATACTGGTTACTTCATATTAGATAAAACGAGTTGTGTAAGAAAAAGTGGTTAAGATCTATTAACCCTTTGAGAGAGACAATCTTCCTAGGGTTTCATTATGATTTAAATGAAATTAGATTTTAAATACTTCAGTCCATTTTCTGGTCTTTTTTTCATGTATTTTCTTCTATGAGAAAAGAAACTAGTAGGAGATTTTCAAAAGGGAACTTTATTTTTTCTTTCTATTGCAGGTAAATTGTCAGACATCAAGTCTACATGGTCCTCTGGCCCAATCTCTCACACACAAGCCTCTCTATCCCATGAACTATGGAAGGTACCCAGAAACACTACTGCTCCTACAAGACCACCTCCGGGCTTAACAAATACCAAGCCATCATCGACGTGGGGTGCCAGTCCCCTGGGCTGGACCAGCTCTTACTCCTCTGGTACGCCTGACGCCTGTGTTTTAGCACACCACAGTGCCTTCTTCTTAGAACTGTTTGCTTTTTATTCTGTGCTGCAATAGTGAGGCACCGCATAGCTGTGTATTAGGCTCCAGAAACATGAGGTCTAATGCAAGTAGAGTGTGTCTGTTTAGGGGTTGAAGCTTGTGCCCATTTATTTTAGTTAGGGTAAACTGTAATTGAAGCTGTCACCTTTCAGGTGGTCGTATTAGTAATTTTACATAGTCATCGCCAAATCATTTAACTCCAACTAAGATTTTTTTTTTTCCATTTCCTTAATCTCTAAAAATACCTTTTAAATGTGTGTCTTGTTTGTGGTATGACCTATGACTGCTTACAAGGCTTCAAGATGAGCAAATCAGCCCATGGAATTTAATATGGAACGCATTTTTGGAGCATGGACGTGAAGCATTTAGGACCTGATGGCATTGCAGGGCCCTCAGGGAATGTCTTAACTTTCTCCATTTTGCTTGGATATAAATATTAGAAACCATGGGTCTGGTATATGTATCATGTTTGTGAAGCAGTCAGCTTCAAACGCAAGCATTGCACTTATTTTATAAAGCTGGCTGGTTTACGTATCTGCTATCACTAAGTTGGGAATTAAATGTCCCTCTTCTTGCTGTTTATTTTTATCTGTTTTCTTCACCAAAACCTTACCTGGTGGGCAGGTATCGCTGATTACAGGATTCTCTCTGGAGCCTGAGTGTGGTCACACATGTGACTACAGATGTACTGGGGTTTCTCAAACACCACTGATATATATCCAGCTTGTTCAGTTCCTCATTGTAAAACCCCAGGCTGAAGTTTGAAAAGCAGGTTTTGTTAGTAACGTCCTTTCATCTTTAATCATTCTCAGTGCAGAAATATGTTTTGAATAAGTCATATACGTTAATCTATCATTGGCAAGATAGCAGAATGCTGCAGTACTATAAAAATCTTTAAGCAGCAATCTGAGCTTGGACATCTGAATTGCTTTTAAAATGTGTCTTCCAGATTAATTCTCATTTAACGTGAAGATACAGTTTGTTGCAGTGTCATACCTGCACCCGCTAGTTTTCTAACTTTTTTGTTGTGGCATTTGTACTGTAGGTTCTGCATGGAGTACTGACAGCTCAGGGAGAACAAGCAGCTGGCTGGTTCTTCGAAACCTCACACCCCAGGTAAACAGAATTGTCCACAGCTAGTTCTGAAAAGGGACGTGTCACATTTAGGAGATGATAAGAACATTTATCTTGGTCATTTGGTTCATTTGAAGGGTAAATAATCATTATGCATTTATTATGTGTCTATCTTCTACAGGGAATTTGTTAAGTTTTGAATGTGCTGTCAAATCAAGCATGAATTTTTAAGACCGTAATTTTTCATTCAGTGTGCAGCATTTTGTATGTTTAAGTTTGGAGGTGAATAGTTTTTTACAACAGATACAGAGATGTAGGGTCTGCTTTTCCTATGGGTTTTGCTTTGGTGGTTCTTCTAAATCTGTCAAAACCTCCAGTCCTCCATGTGGTTTCATTCACAAAGAAGAACATAAGCCACAAAGCCTTTAATGTAGACATCCAGATTAACCTTGGAGGAAATTTAGTTGTATTTATGAACACTATTTTTTTTCTTTGACTTATTTCTGGACTTCTGTAGACTTTTAATGATAAAAATAATTTGTATAGCCTAAATTGAGAAATTCTATGCACTGGATTGTAGGGAAGCCTTAAAAAGGCAGGATGTCTCACTCAGTGAAGCCAGTAATAAGTCTGTAATTAAATTTTTATGGAAGAAAAACTTTTCTTTTACTTGTACTCGTTCTTCAGCTTTTAAAATTTATTTAGTTAACAAGCATTACAAAAGCAGAATCACAGAAATACAGGTAACCTTTCACCTCCCTTCCCTCTTACCAGATTGATGGTTCCACACTGCGGACACTGTGTTTGCAACATGGCCCTCTAATAACATTCCACTTGAACCTGACGCAAGGGAATGCTGTGGTCCGATACAGTTCCAAGGAGGAAGCAGCCAAGGCCCAGAAGTCTCTGCATATGTACGTTTCTGCTGTCTTTCCTTTGTTATGAAGCCAGTTTTATCTCCAAGCTATTTTCTTAGGCATTCATTTGTTAGGACTCAGAACTGATCACTAGTTAGTTTAATCTGATTTTTAAAATAACCTTATGAGACAGAGAAAAAATAACTGGGGGCTAGATACTTATGTACTACTGAATAAGAGGTCATTAAAATCTTGATAATTGATATTCACCATTAATAATGTTCTCAGTAAGGATTTGTCAATTCTAAGGCTGCACGGAATTTGTAAGATGTGATAAGAGTTCTAAAGGAAGCAGAGAAAGCATGAGATGAGGTTTTAGCTTCGGAGAGCAACAGAAAGGACAAAACAATGATAGATAAAGAACATGTTCGTGTGGTCACCATTTTAAAGGAGGAATGAAAAAAATTGAAGGAAATGAATGACGGTGCTTCTGAGGTGTTCAGATCCATGGAACTAATTGGCATTAGCAAGAGCGGGAGAATTTTGGGTGATAAAATTGGTGACATTGGGAAGAATAAGCATATTCTGACACATATTAAGAATATAGAGACTGATGTTTCAAAAGAGTACTTAAGTGCTTGGAGTTAGAAAGCAACTTTCTGTATCAACAAGTTATAGCACAAGGATAATGAAAAATACTGATCATAGAGGGAACACCACTTGGAACTAGGTGTACTACTGTCCACTTAGAAATGGGGGAGCAATGGTTATTCCATAAGTAAAGTTGCAACTACTTTCCCATTATGGGAAAGTAGCTTAACAGAAATTGCAGTATAATATTAATTACCGTGTTGCTTTCTTAACTGTTGACCATTCTGTTGACCCTGCTGTGAGAGTGCTGAGGCACTGGAACAGGTTGCCCGAAGAAGTTGTAAATGCTCCATCCCTGGCAGTGTTCAAAGCCAGGTTGGACAGAGCCTTAGGCAACATGGTCTAGTGTGGGGCATCCCTACCCATGGCAGGGGCTTGGATCCAGATGATCTTTCCAACCCAAACCATTCTATGATTTTATGATTCTTTAATGAAATATTACAAAGCAGCATTCAGAACAGTTGGAGATGAAAAATGGACCCATCTTGGGTTACATCAGTTTAGATGTGGGCATCAGGTAAAAGAAATAATGCCAGAGGCAAAATTAATATGTGAGTTTAAAGAGAAATGCTTATTTTAAATATGCAGATGGTAACATCCTTACACTGAGGTCTGGAAGGCCTCCCTGTAAATTGTTTTTTTAATAGGTTGTGGCATAGCTACAGTTATACTGCTGGAAAGGACAGGACAGACCTTTGTGAATGAAAAGGCTTGAGGTATAAATGTGCTTGGTTTGCTGGCGGAGTGTCAATGGTAAAATACAATGGGATTTGTGGAAGCCAGCAGGACAGTATTAGAGTTTCAAGAGATACCAGCCACTATCTGTTACACAGATAAATGTTTACATGGACTTGATCACTGGAAAATAAATCACAGAGCCAGCAGACTCATATCCCAGCTTATAGTGGGATATATACTATAGCAATAGTGTGGCCAGGAGGATATGGACAGGGATTGTCCCCCTGTGCTCAGCACTGGTGAGGCTGCACCTCAAATCCTGTATTCAGTTCTGGGCCCCTCACTTCAAGAGAGTCATTGAGGTGCTGGAGCGGGGCCAGAAAAGGGCGACAGAGCTGGTGCAGGGCCTGGAGCACAAGTGTGGTGAGGAACGGCTGAGGGACCTGGGGGGTTTAGTGTGGAGAAGAGAAGGCTCAGGGGGAACCTTATCGCTCTCTGCAACTGCCTGACAGGATGGAGCCAGGAAGGGGCTGGTGTCTTCTCCTAAGTAACAAGTGATAGGGTTAGGAGGAAACAGCCTCAAGTTGCACTAGGGGAAGTTTAGATTGGATATTGGGAAAAATGTCTTTACAGAAAGAGTTGTACAGCACTGGAACAGGCTGCCCAAGGCAGTGAAGTCACCATCCCTGGAGGTGTTTAAAAGATGTGTAGATGTGGCACTTACGGACATAGTTTAGTGGTGGACTTGGCAATGCTGGGTTAACGGTTGGAAACATGCCTGGTTTTCAAAGACTGCATTTAGTTCTCTTCACTTACACATTTAGGAAAGGTAGAAATTCTCAAGATGGGATTTTCAGCAAGGAGCATTTGTACAAACCCAGCTTGTTGGTGGCATCCAAACCAGAGGCCGTGGTCAGGCAGTGAGGGGGGAACAGCCATCACAAACGTGTATTGCAGCAAAGGCGTATTTGTTGACGTGTGTGTTCAGTTACCATGCAACAGTGAGACTGAGCTAACAGAGAGATTCAGAGGTTTAGGCAGATAGTGCCTGGTAGGTTTATCTTCTCTTCTTTACAAGATCTTAAGTTGCAGAATGAATTCTAGAAGAAAATAAAAGCTAGGTTCTTGGAAGAATTCTGCATCCATTGCATTAGTCATGCAGTTATTCTTGTCAAACATACACAAAGGAAATTAATTTTAAACATACTATTAAAGAAAAGTGAGCTTTCAGGAAATGTGACTGGGGAGAAGACAAAACCTTCGACTTTGCAGGATGTGTGGTGAGTTGCATTGAAGTACAAACCAAATTTCAAACTACACATGTTGGAAATGTATTCCCAACACAGCCAGATGAGCTTTAAGGGTCCCTTCCAACCCAAGCCATTCTATGGTGTCCATCTTGGATGTTTCCAGAAGTGCCCTTTGCACCCCGTGTTTTGTGTCACTCCACCTTTTCTCTCTGCCCTCAGGTGTGTCCTGGGAAACACTACTATCCTGGCCGAGTTTGCTGGTGAGGAAGAAGTCAACCGTTTCTTAGCACAAGGCCAGGCGCTGCCACCCACCTCCAGCTGGCAGTCCAACACTGGAACCAACCAGACCCGCCTGGGCTCCTCCAGCAGCTCCCACAGCTTGGTCCGCAACGACGCTGGGCACTGGAACACTCCCTGCCTGGGGGGCAAGGGGAGCAGCGACCTGCTCTGGGGTGGGGTCCCCCAGTACTCCAGCAGCCTTTGGGGACCCCCAAGCACCGACGACGGCAGAGTTATCGGCAGCCCAACACCTCTGAATACTCTTCTTCCGGGTGATCTTCTCAGTGGAGAGTCCATCTAGGAAACCAGAGAAACAAAATGGAAAATAACAATCATCAGCACTAAAGGAAAAATAGAATTGTAACCCTTTCCAGTCCCGGGCTTGATGAAGAATCCAGCTTTAACAGATCAGACTGGCAGCCCTTTTTAGTACCTCTGTCCAATATCGACTATGAAACTGCAGAAGTCCTTGTGAACTGTTCATGAAACAGTATGGGCTACTTTTGGTCAGTGTCACATGCTAATGACAGGTTTTATTGTTTTTTTGTTTTCATGGCTTTTTGTTTTATGTTGTCTTTTTATGTTTGTATGGTGATTTTTTCAAAACTAAGTATAAAAGCTGCTTAGAATAGGTCTATCATGAAGGGCACTTTTCAGAATTTGGGCTGGAAAGGGTTATTTTATCAACTGGGGGGGGGAGGGAGAGGAAGGGGGAAACGAAAGCCTATTTAAAATGAGCCTGTGACTATTATGCACATTACCAGAGGCGGACCCAATAATCAGAAAGGGTGAAGTGTGATATTTACCATTGGTACAAAAAAGAGACGAGTTGGAATGGTAACTACGGACTGTACAGGTTGAGCTGGGGGAAGGGCAGGGTCAGGCTATCTCTGTGTCCACTACTCCCATGGATCTGCCTATGCACATTACCCTTGTTTCATTACTTTTTTCATGTCATTTTTTTAATCCCAAAAATATAAAAAAGTGTAAAAAAAAAAAAAAAACCAACAAAAAAAAAACAACAAAAAAAACCCCACCACACCACCACCAAACAACAAAAAAACCCACCCACCCAACAAACCACAAACCATATCAACATGCAAATACTTGAATCCAGCAGGCCAATAACAAAATGTGAACACTTTCTAAGTCGAATTATTACACTTCCAGGTCGGCATCAGTACACAAAAACCAGGCTCTAAGGATTTTTGTTCTTCAAGTTCAGCCTCTGTTTGTGTTGGAACAGCCGTATGTGTGTGCGCGGGTGCCTGTGTGGGTGCGTGTGTCCCTGTGTGCCCGGGAGGGGGGTTCACTAAAACGGTGAATTTTCTCCTTTTATTCAGTATATGCTTTTTATTTGCTCATTGGTCAAATGTTTAATTGTTATTAGCTTCTAACTTTGCACTGAGTGTCCGCAGCCCTTCTTGTAGCTAATCCTAGAACGGTCAAAAGTAAAATAAAAGGAAAAAAAAAAGAAACTGATAGAAGGGGCCGGCGACAATTCACGTGTAAATGTTTACTCAAGGACTCTTATCACATTTTAAAAATGACAGTGTGTATCTCTGGAGAATAATATGTATATCTACCTTTAGCAGCTTTTTATTGTGGACTAATGCAAGAAAATTACCGGAGTATTGCACCATTTTTCCATTCGGAATATAAAGTTTAACAAAAAAAAATACTCTTGTTGAACTGTGGCCATAGATAATTGTAAAGAGTTGATAGTTCCCTTGCAAGCAGGAACAGAAACAAGCACTTGGACATAGGTTTTGACTGCTTTTGGAGGAGCCGGGATTTGTGGCTCCCACCTGTTTACAGACCTTTTTTTCCTCCTTCAAACTTTAAAATAAAAAAAAAGGAATTAAAAAAAAAAAAGAAAAAAAACAAAGAAAAAACATAAAAATAAAAAGAAAAAAAAAACTTCCATCGTAAAGAAAAACTTATTTTCAGAATGAAGATATGCTACTTCAGAGCTCTGGGATTGAACAGTGTTGTTGTATTATCCTTTTCTTTGGCCATTGCTGTGTACTATATTTTTTTTTTGGGTTGTTGTTTTTTCCTCCTCTTCGTCAAAGTGGCGAAAACTTTGTGATCACTATCTTGCACATGGTGGAAGATGTCTCAGGAAAGCCGGGTTTCCCGAGGAGCAACTCCACACCATTTCATGTATTTTTAAAACCCAACTCCTAGCACTGAAGATATTATTAAAAAAAAAAAAATTAAAAAAAAAAAACAAACAACAACAAAAACCAACAAAAAAACACAAAAAGAAAAGAAAATTAAAAAAAAGACAGTAAGAAAGAAGAAAATACCTAATCTAATGTGTAGCAGTTACATATTTACCAAATAATGGACTCAAAAAGAAATAGATGTTTGAAGAGTGCTTTATATATTAAAAAAAATTGCTTTATGTTTAAAAGAAAAGATCAATGTTTTTGATTGTTTTGAAAGGAAGAAAGACAATGGAATAACATACACTTCACGTATGTTTTAAAAATTATATGAACATTGTGCTCCCTGCCTGCTTGGATCAGGAAACTTGTGCATTACATTTTTGGTTTCTTTTTGGTTTTCTTTCGTTTTTTTTTGTTTGTTTGTTTGGTTTTTTTGTTTTTTTTTTTTTGTTTGTTTTGTTTGTTTGGTTGGGGTTTTTTTTGTTTTTTGGGGTTTTTTTTGTTTTTGTTTTTTGGGTTGGTTTTTTTTTTTCGGAAGATTAGCTTTTTTTATGGTTTTATCAGATGTAAAGGGTCCTGCAAGATTGCAAATAACAAAAGCTGGTTTTATAGAGGATCATGAACTATGCACAAACTGGGTTCAAGACTTGTTTTTCTTTTCTTTCAAGGTTTAGTAGTGTATTTAGCTGAATAACCTCTCCTCAGAGTAATTGCATCTCATTGCCATTACACGCCTCCAACATATATATTTTATATATCTATATATACACACACACACTTATATAAAATATGTATGTGTGTATTGCGTGTTTACATAAAATTTTCCATGCTGAACTTTAGTATTGAGTTGTAGAAAAACTCCTGATATTTTAAAATTGGGAATGAAAATTTCTGGTTTATGGTTGGGGGGGGGGGGGGGGATTTTGGGGCTTTTTTTGGGTTTTTTGGTTTTTGGGGTTTTTTTTTTTTTTTGCCTTTCCTTTTGGATTAAAGATGTCTGTAACTCTGAGATTAAAAAAAAAACCAACAATTGTGGCTTTTAATGTTTTTTCTCCTCATAGAATGTGATTGTTAAAGAACATGCACCGAAAGTTGCTTTCAAGAGTACGAAGATTCTTTGAAACTTAATAAATTGCAGTTTTTTCTTGGCTGTTGAAATAATGCGTTTTTTTCTTTTATGCAGGGGATACTGAAAATAGAAATATATATTTTGTTAAATCTGTTAAGGTATTTCATGGAAGAAGTTTAACTCTTTCAATGTTAATGAGAATCAAGTGTACAGCCGGGCAGCTCCTTCCTGCAAGTGTCATCGCACACCTTCAGTCTTCGTGTTGGTGATGGCGTTCCCATATCTGGAATGCTTGTACCATGGACCCTTGGCTTAGTGCATCCAAGAGTGCTGCAGTAATTGATTTTTTTTTTGTTAGAATGATGGTTTTCTCATTTATTCATGTCTTCAGTCATGTAGAGGATGACTTGTTGGCACTGTTGTGAGGCTGAAGGCTCCACTCTAGCTCTGCTACCCCACTGCCTCCCGTTCTCTGGACCTGGATATCTCTAGCTCTAAACCACCAGTTCTACTAACTTGTGTGAGGTGGGCAAATAGCCTGTAAATAAGGTAGAAGCAGCAAAGTATTTTCATGTTTGGTCTTTCAGGTTTTGAAATTAAGGTATTTCTATTGGCTGACAGGAGGCACAGGAGGTGAAGCACAGGAAGTCCATGGAGGGACCTGATCTTGCTCCATCTTGTCTACAGATGAGCTTACCTTCTCCAGCCTCATCATATCAGTTCTTCACCTCTTGGTGGCACCAAGGTGATTCATATGGGCAGTGGGATTGACAGGTCTATAGCTACAAGTTGGTGCAGTAAAACTCAGTCCACTGATTCAGTTGAAAAGGGAAAACCTAGCCTGGATTAATCAGAAAACAGTCCCCAGTCCTGAACAGCTCTACCCACAGCACAACTGTCACCTCTCCTTGCTGTCACCAGGACCATCAGCTACTCTGCCATAAACTGTACATTGAATAAGAAAGGCCTGTGGGGCTGGAGGGACCCAAACACCTCTCGAGAGCTGGCAGTTTGCTGCAGATAGAATACAGTTAAAAATTGCCAAATCTAGACTCAGGGTGGGTAATTCTGTTCTCTAAACAGAAATACCCAGCCTGAAGCCTCTTGATTTTTTTAATTGCTACTGCCCCAAAGTTGCACAGATGTTTGTAATGAAACTCTCAGAAGAGAGTTGCCTTCTGTTTTCTTCTCCTTCCTTGGTCTTTTGTTTGCTTTCAGTTCTCGTTGATGTCCAGGCAAACAAACTGAAACTTCAGGGACCCTGAAACTCAGAGGCCTCCTTGCTACGGGAAAAACACCGAAGTCCCTTACGGAGTTGGGTGTTGTAGCCAACAAGAGCTTTTGTCTTCCATAAGGTTGGCAGAGACGGCTTTTTGCAAGTCAAATGCACTCTTAAAATTTAGTATCCACCCTGCTATGTTAAAAGAAATACAGCTCGTGGCCAAAATCGGTCTTTGGATGTTTGTGTAGCTCCTTTTATTTTCAGTGTCATACTCTTTTCTGCTTTAATGCTACCCAATATTTCTCTAATGGTGAAGCCAGCTCCTGATGAGGATTCTCCTTATGGCTCCAGAATCTTTACCAGAAAACATGTTTTAACAATTTTGTGGTTTTCTGTACATTGCATTTGCTGTACCCGCCATAGCACTTTCACTGCATGGCTCCCCTGTCTTTAGGCCAAGGGAATTTCTCTTTCCTAAGTGGTCTAAAACTGTCAAACTTCTTCTTGGTTCCTTGTCTGGTTTGTGGGTGGCACTGGCAAAGCAGATGGGTTTGCTCTTCTGCTCTAGAAATATATTATTGGTCTTGATAATTCAGTATATGATTGTGTATGTGAAGGAGCTTTTTAAATAAAACAAATGTATATGGATATCTGTATATGTTAAGAATTACTGGAGTTGTAAGAGTCTGGAAATGGAATTGAAAAACCCTTTAGGATTTGGGTTATGGGCAGCTATAGTGCGGAGCATAACCTGTGGTACCAGATCAAAGGTGACCTGTAAGGATCATCTCCTGCTGTTGTGTATGAACTGCTGCTAGATGTCTGTCACGTTGTACCGATGGAGGTGTACTCACTGTATCGCTGTGTTTGATGCTGAATGTACAAGCTCTACTCAAGTCCTGCGTAGCCAGTTTCAGGGAAGGGGAGTTCTGCCACACTGGATATCAAGCTCACACAAACTCTTGTAACCTGTGCAGATGCCTGGTGTCCCCGGTCAGCCTCAAGGTAAAGGGCAGCTCCGTACATGTCTGGGAATGTCTGTGATTCACAGTCTTCTTAGTGGGAATTCGAAGGAGACCCTGGGCCCGTCCACCCACTGCACAGGACAACTTTAGCTCCCTGCAGGTCTCTTGGACTGTTTCACCCAGATCCTTGTGTTG